ATTTTTGCAATCTAAAATTCATCTATCAAAAATAAAATAATTTTCTCTTACCTTCTTTATGATGTCCACGGAGTATACGGTGAGAACTTTGCCAAACCCCAGTTGAACACAACAATCCAAAACTGACACCAAAGAGAACAAAAACAACTGATATTTAACATTAGAAAATGGAATGGTTACCCCTCCCAGCAGCTGTCTTATAGGGATTTCGCATATGCTGCCCTTTATTGCATATTTACCGAACTATATTAATTGACCATGGAGGGTGATTTCATTTTTGATGGACAAAGTTTACTAGTCTGATTTACAAAAAGAAAGTTACAAAAATAATTTTTTTTTTTAAAAAAAATATTAAATAAAAAGTTACTATAAACATTTAACTAGGTAAAACTACAAAAATCATTAATATAACATTTAAATTGTTTAACAGCCATTAAAAATTATTTTGTGTCACAGACGTAGGGGATTTTGAAGTTATGTTTACTAAAAAATAAGAATGAAATATTAAATACATTTAGCAGAAATGCATATGATTTGTAAGTTACAACTTTACGAAAAATGATGAGGGAAAATATTAAGAAATCTGCTGTATTTCCTAATATTTTTTACTCCGGGACTTAAAAAATCACCTTTTTGTGAGAATGACCCAAATACAGCAGTTTTAATATATGATTCATTGATAGATTTCATACAAACTGTTAGAGATGATTTTGACAATTTAGAAAAAGAAGCAAAAAAAGTTAAAGATATTGCAAATACTAATGATAAAAAACGGCAGAAAATACGATTTCATGATGAAATTCCAGAACATGAAATATGATTCAGTGGCAAAGAACATTTTAAAGTTAATATTTTTTTTGTTCTATGCTATTCTTTAATTAGCAACATTAAAAAAAGATCTGAGGGATATAGAACTATTAACAATAAATTCAAAACAATTTTTCATGATAGTGATGTTTGTGACTCTTCAATAGAGGAATTAAAATTTTATGAACAAGATTTAAACCTAGCAAAACTGGAAAATGAAGTATTACAATTTAAGACTTTTATAAGTAAATAAAATATTATTTCGCCTGTATCCATGATAATAATATTATAGCAACATTCCCTAATTTAAACATAATTCTGAGAATTTATTTAACCCTTCCAATAAGCAATGCAAGCGATGAAAGATCAATCTCAGTAATGGTCAGAATAAAAAAATTCTAAGATCCACATTAGGCCAACGAAAATTAAATAGTTTATCATTACTTTATATAAAAAAAAAGAGTTATTAAATAACTGTATTAATTATGACAAACTAATTGACGAGTTTGCAGAATTAAAAGTGAGACAAAAGGCAATACAACTAATCAATCTAGGTATATTTGTTTAAGTATTATTGTTTGTTCTAATAAATTATTTTTATGTTTGTTTGTTTCAATAAATCACGTTTAATAAAATTTTGTACATGTATATTATTTTTACCCTTGTTTTTCTTGGAACCCGATAATTAAATAGAACTACACACTATATGCTTTAAAGCCAAACTATCAAACGCAAAGTATGCGTCATGACTGAAAAATAGGCCCGAAATTATAATGTTGCCTAGGGCCCGCTTTAGCCTTAGTCTGCCACTGCATAAGTGTCTGATAATTAAAAAAGCAATTATAGACTTTACTTGCAAAGAAGTCATATTTATTGGCAAATCCAAATTGGGTAATCGATAAAATCCACATTTTTCTGTCAATTTTAAATTTTATTTTAATTTTTGTAAATACGTATGTCGTACGTACGTATCATAATACGCAATCGTAATACGTATACGTATGTATTTCGTAAATACGTATTTCATAAATACATATAACGAAAATGGTTTGCGCATGATATCATTTCTTTAGCATCAAATCATGCAATGAATTTAAATTGTTATAATTTAGAGCATTTTAAGCCGTGAGAAACAAAAGTTTTCATAACACTTCTATTTATTAAAAAAATAAATAAATGTGATAAAATTTAAATATTTTCCTACTGAAAAATTTGTTACAACCTGGGCCCAGTAAAGAGAAGACGAGGCATGGGGCAGAATACAATCTAATTATTTATTTCATTAACTAAGACTTTTGACTAGAATTAAAAATATTGACTTTTATGAAGAAAAAAATGCTGAATAGGACACAATCACAAGGAGTTTGTAAAAAAAGGTCAGAGACTCCTCGTTAAATTTTTTTTTTAAAAGATAAATACTTACGCTTCAGCTTATTCCCATAAAATAAATAAAGATAAAAACTTTATGGATTGTAAACTTACAACTTTATTTTCAATAGCAAGAGACAAATCAAGGAAATATTTAAACATACAATTGAAACTGAATTTAGTTTCAGCACAATGATCAATTGCACTTGAAAATAACTACATTGTACAGTTATAAGACAAAATGAAACATCTTGTAAGTTAGAAAGAATAAATTAATGAATATATTTTTATGTAAACTAGAGACAAATGTAGAAATGCATGTTTATAATCGCCCTAATACATGAAGAAAATGTAATAGTCTAGATTATCAGAAACACATAGAGTGGAATGAATTTACATAGTGAGTAAACAAAAATTTAAGAGTACTTTTTACCGATTTGAATTACATACATGAAAAAAAAAGAAAACAATGAAAGAAATAGATAACTAGAAGGCACATTGACAACGTAAAAAATTATCATGGCAATATAAGGCTAAAAGTCGAAATTTGACACTGAGAAATTGAGATTCTTTAAAATGGTAAGGTAATAACTAATATATAATTTACACTCAAACATTTTTGAAATATTTTAAAATCTTTAAGTACTTTTGGTGAAGTTATAGTTTGATATATTTAGTATCATGAAGAGAATTACATATCTTTTAAATTATCAACTGAATTATACATCTCCTCTCTAAATTTTTGATCAGACCAAATCCTTTAATTTTTGAACTGGTCGGTTGCCTTAATTTTTAAAAAAAAAATTGAATTAAAAATATTTTGAGACTTCTGTTCAAAAAGAAATTATAGAATTTCTATACAAGAAACTGCTAATAGTGTTGTTGCAATTAATTGGTAGATTCCAGTGATGTAGCTAGACTTTCAGAGAGCGTAAAGAAAGATGAATAAAGAGACATTGCTTTGCATTTGAAGAATCTAGCACTTTTAGTTGTTATGCACAATTTAAAATGATGTACTTAAACAAGTTTTAATCCAAAATTATACTAATGTTTTACACATCATCCTACATCTTAAAATAAAGAAAAAAAGCACAACATTAAACTAATCAAAAGTTGTATAATTTTCATGGTTTTAAGAATGTAAAAAAATAAGCGTATTTCATTTAATGTCACACTACAGCAGCACAATGGGCTGTTCACGATGGTCTGGGAAACATCCCTGAGGATGATCCAAAGACATTCCAATTCAATTTTATCTTCAGCAGAGGGAATGGCTTTCCAGCTTTGACTACAAAATGAAATTAAGCGTTTAATTAAAAAGAAGATTCAGGACTGGCATAACTATCATTTAAATGAAAAAAAAATCCATATCTTATCAGTATCTTAATATTTTCTATCTTCAGTATCTTATTATTTTTAATAAAAAGGACTAAATTACATGTTTTAAGATGCTTCTTTCCTCATGATTGAACTTGACTGCTGAGAGGTGTGGACGGAAGGAAGAAATGTTTAATATAATAATCTTCCTTAAATTATCACAAATATACTAAAGATTGCAATTTTATTTACTTTATTCAACAATATTCTTTAATATATAAATTATTAGATTATCGACCAATCAGATTGGGAATTATAAATGGAAATTTTTTTAATTTTTTTTTAACGCGGGTGTTTTTTTTCACATTAAAAAAAATTGTGCAACAAGAAATTTTTAAAAAACTGATTTGATAATATTCTTTTGAACATTTTTGCATTTTACAAAACTCATTAATTTTTTGCATACTTATTGTTTAAGGTTTTTTCCGTGTGGCCTATAATGGTTTACAAGGTAAAATAAAAAAGAAAACAATTTTAAAAATAGTTATTTTAGAGGCTGTAATTGCCAATCTAAAACTAATAATTGAAGACTCTTGTTGCATAAAATTTTTTTTAAATAAAATTTCATGTTTTGAAAGTTTCTCAATAAAATTGCTCTGGGAAAAGTAAAGGTATGAGTGCAAATTATAATTCTTTAAGAAAATAAAAAAGGGTGAAAAGGAATATATGCAGATGCAATATTAAATGTCTTTCATATTAAATGAGAAAAATTATAGGGCTGAAGAAAATGTAAGTATTTTTAGAATAAAAAATAAGTAGGGCAAGTTCATAACTCAATTAAGTTTCATAAATTTTTAAAGGATATATTATTTTTATTTTCAAATTTTGCTTCTCAAACAATCTACCAATTTCAGCGCACATGATTTTAAGTTTAACTTTGAAATTTTAAATATTCCTTAAAAATTTCAAATGGTTGCTAATAAAAATCTTTTTAAAATAAATTCCTAGAAAAAAAATAATTTTAACGACTGGCTCAGCATTTTATAGTAAAATATTTTCAATTTACTAGTTTATGACTTAAAAATGCAAATAAAATGTTACTTCAAACACCTTAAAACGTTTGAAATAAATCCAAATAATAAAATATATTTCTAATTAAAGGAATGAAGTAATAAACCTTCAAACTTACACAATCTATTAATATATATATATCTACTCTATTAGTTACAAAATAACAAATTCCAACAAATTATTAAAAAAAAAAAAATTATAATATATTGCAGAAAATACTGAGCAGTGTATGCCACTGACGGTTTAATTATTGTGCAATACTGAACATTAGAACTTGATCTGAGCCATGCAAATTAGTACACAGGGGAAAAGAGGTTGAAGTTGATTATCAACCCCCTGAGCTTAAGTTTGAGCTTTTTCAAAACTTAATCTGACTGCATTGCAAAAAAAAAACACATTTTTTTTGTTGATATTTATTAAGAAAGTAGTGGATAGAAAAGTCTGCACTATTTTGTCCCAGAACTAGTGTTTGATTTAATTGGAGGAAAGGTATTAACATATCTAAAGGCAGCAAAAAACACAGCACAAACATAAAGAGTATTGCTTCTGTAGTCAGCTTTATAATTTTGTTATTTTCTTACAATATAACTTTTTGTTATTTATCCAATCTAATTATCAGGATCAGGTCCAATCGCAATTAAAATAGTCAGAAAATAATACCCACATCAATTTTCCAAATTTTTATAATACCAATTATAGCCCTATCCCACAAACATACTTAAATTTACTAATTGGTAATAGCTCAACTTTATACTGCCAGCATAACATTTTTGTTAAATTTGCTAAACACCTAAAGTGGCAGAAGCAGTATTGAATTTGACTGTTCTTAATGTTTCAAATAACTCCATATGGAAAGTACCAAACAAGTTAAAGAAAATTGCAGCTCTAATACTTTGCATAATTATGCAAACACATATAATATTAGTTAAATCAGCATGATTTGGGTTTTTTATGTCACAAAATTTAAAGAAAAATTCAAAATTATTATCATGTTTTTTTAGGCAAATATGGAGTTTATGAAAGAAAATACAAAATTCTAACACAGACATGTCACTATTGAATAGATTATTTGACTTAAAAAACAACCTATTATCTTCTATAAGCTTTGTTTTTCAAACATTTTTATTTACCTTTGAAATTATATTTAGTGGTCACATACTTTTTTTTTTCCGGCTTTAATTTCATAAAAACAGAAGGGTCAATATAAGATATTAAATCACTTCTATACAGTTAAAAAACAAAACTGAACTGTTTCAATCAGTGTTACAAAGCTTCATTTGCTCTATTTGTTAATAACATTTATGCTATCAATGATTAATATAATTTGTATATTAAATAAAATTCTTTTAAATTTAATAGGCTTATATTTTTGGATAAACAATCAAAATTAGTAAAATGCCCATAAGAAAATGTAGTTCAGAGCTTTGGAGATATACTTTTCTTCTTTCAAACATTTTCATATTTCAGTGATTATTTATTCAAAGGCACTTAATCCTCTAGCATGATACCATTATACTTTATTCAAGTTTAAAAACATAATTTAGACAGTTACAAAGCTCCGTGGAGACAGTTAATATATACTTTGAGTTTGGTTTGAACTTTTGGAATGAGAAACTAGTGAAATATTATTTTTAATAGTAAAAATTTCAAGTCTTTCAACTGCAGTATCTTTTAATTAAACTTAACAGGGCTAATTTTTCAGGACATACATAATGCGTGTAGAATTAAAGTACAGTTGCTCAAGGCTCAAAAAATAGAGATAAGTGTATAAACAAACTAGTTTTACAACTTTCAACACTATTTGTGTCAGAATTTAATATTTCCTTTCATAAATGAAGTGAATAGAGGAGAGGGATGAATGGTATTAATTATTTTTAAATATAAATTTTTCACTATATAAATTTTAGAGAGCTCTTTTAAAAACTAATAAAAAGAAAAATATCACAAAATTTTTTTTTTTCCAAAAAAAATTCTATAAGTAAAAATTTTACTATTTTAATAATTTCAAATGCTTTAATACAAATGCTTAATTTAGCTTTAAGAATAATTTTAAAACAAAGATAAAAAGTTCCCAAGACTCAGTATAAGTTGGCAAAGTGACAACAAAAATATGGCATGTTTATTTTATAAAAATAATAAAAAAGTAATAAAAATAATTAATGCCTAAATTATAGTTCGACTATAAATGCCAAAAATAGTTTCCTAATTTGTAAATTAGAAGGAACACTTAAACGTTTCAATATATATATATATAAAAGAAAAAAAAAAGACATCAATCCAATGAAAACTAATATAACAATGGTTTAAACATATAAAGTATATAACTTTCAAAATCAGAAACATATAACAATTGCAATCAAAAAATGACAAACTGAAATATAAATTGATCCTAAAAACACTCACCCTCATTGAGCACAAAAACAATTCATATAATAACTATATAATGATTATGCATAATAAAATCAACAGTATCAAAGGACCAGAATAGTACAATTGGATCACAGAACTTTGCACCTGTTATTGAACAAAAACATAACAAAGACTTTTTCTAAGAAATAATAATAAAAAAAATTTGTGACATAAATGTTCAATGGGTAAAAAATTCAGACAAAATGGCACATTATATACATACATATATAAAATCATCCCATGCTTAATATGAAAAACTTGTTAAAGTAAACTATGGTTCAAAAAAAATTTTTTTTCTTCAGAAATGCTAACTTTTTACACAATAAATGTTAATAATTTACTGTTTAGTAATTTTCAAGAGTAATTTTGATAAAACTTTCCATTTTACTTTGTAATTGCAAAACATATTTGTTAAAAAAATACAAGTGTTTAATTAGATTTTTGTGATGCTTAAAATGAAAAGATTCACAAAACAGAAAAAATTTAAATAATAAATTTTTTCCACAACTTTTAACAAATTCCGATTGCTCTCACTCCTTTCCTGTGCATTTAAATTAAAACAATAAAAATCCTGTTTTTAAAATTTATATTTTTTCTCCAAAACTTTACATTTGAACGGTATCCTGACAAATGCCTTTGTGTATGTTCATAAAAAATATTTGAATCATCTATATTAATAGAATGTGATACTAATGCTTAATAAATGTTTCTTTCAACCAATAATGTGCATTACAATAATTAGGTGTATTGCGACAGTTATTTTATACAATATTGCAACCATACCAAAATTTATGATGTATAAAATGAAAACAAGATTTAAAAAATTCTTATAAGTTTAGCAATGCTTTAGAAAAGTATTCTTTATAAGCAATTCACTTGTATTCTTTTAAAATAGTAATTTTCAGATCTTGTGGTGAAAAATGTTTAACTATTGAACATGTGGGGGAAAAAAATACTGAAACAGCCAGTTAGGTAAGATAAATTTCTTACAGTAAAATATTTATGTTTTATTCCAGCCTAAATGCATTTTTTTAAAATGAATATTTAATCTTGCTGACTATCAAATTATTTTTCTAAAGTTGAATTGTCATGAGGCTTTTGTTTAACTCTATTAAAACAGATCGAAAATGCGCTGATTTTCAACTACATGTACAGTAGTTTTACCTTCTAAATGAATAATTGCAATGGGATGTTAATAAAGACAATATTTTGTAATAATTTATATTTCTTTTGAAACATGCTATTTATCAAACAGTAACTAAGAAAATAAATGAAGTATATTTATTAGAAAAGTCAAGATTATTAGTATAGTATTAGTCATGCAAAAAAAAAGTTATCAAGTATTATCAATAAGCTTAGTACTTAATAATCACATTAATTAAAAAGTGAAAAGTAAAAAATAATTTTAAAAAAACTTAGCTACAAATTTAGCTTTATATTCATTGTATAAAACTTAGCTTTATTATGAATGTAAAGCTTTTAGATAATCTAGAAGATTTAGTTAAAAACCCTAAAAATGTCATCTTTTTACTCTGTTTTGAGTATGGTTCGGTGGCTTTTTAACATAAAATTAGTTTTCTGTGCATGTTTTTCAATTTTGAACTAATGCTTGACAGGTAAAATATGAAACAACTTAGCCCAAGATGATACATAGTTAAAGAATTAATGCAAAATTAATAAAAAAATAATAATTTACAAAGTTTATTAAAATTTTAAAAAATTAAAACATGCAAAGAAAGTAATTCAGTAAAACCCTACTTATGCAAATGCAATGACTAAAAATCTGACCATTCAATAAGTTTAAAAATAAAAGAATCCTTTATTGAGATCTAAAATTCTAAATGTCATACTGATATTTCATAGCTAACATCAGGATCACTTTTCCTTGTTTTGTAATCAGGTACAACATTTGCATTAGGAGCAACAACTTTATAACTAGGAGATAAGTTCTGAGTTAATCTGGAATGTTGACTAACATGAAATCGAGGATGCTGTAAATCACAATCACTTAAGTCCATAGTCTCAGACATTTCCATTGCTTTAACAAAAGATAACGGTCTGTTGCCTGGAGTGCGTGCAAACTCTCCAGAAACACTGCTCTGGCATGAATGATTTGAAGAAGATTGTTGACAATCTACGCAGTTATTTACATACAGTTGCTGGGGTGTATGAGCAATTAACAATTGATGACCATCATAATGTTCTTTGTTAGGACTATTATGAAAACTACTGCAACCTTTCGGAAATGCTTCCAGAACTGAAACATCAGTACACTGCCCTCCAATCATCGTTCTGTTAGCAATTTCTTGCAATTTATCCACTGTCTGGTTTCCTAGACAGCAAGTGTCAGATGCCAGCATCTTCCCACTGCTTGCAGATTCAGGAGACGTAAAAGAAATACCCTCCGGCTTAGAAAACATATCTTTCCGTTTATTGTACACATTAGAATAATAATTGGAGTTAGGTGCACAGGCATCAGCTGAAGTAGCGCCATAATCATACTTCATAAAGGAAGGGTTTTGACTTTGAGAACAATACAGGGTTGGATTTGAAGATTGTCCGGAGGTACAAGCACTCATTCTGGAAACATCCTTTGTAAATGGAGGACTATGAATTGATTGAGCGACTACGTAATGAGGAGAAGGTGCATGAAGCCTATTGTGGGGAGGAAGGGATCTTCTTGAGCAGTCAAACCTAATTGGCACAGGCGGTGTTAATGCTCTAGAGCTTCTATTTTTTGAATGAGATTCTGGCCTAGTATAAAGTGATTCACTAAGGCTTAAATGTAAACTCTCACGATTTAAATATGAAGGTGGAGAGCTTTCACAGTCAGTTGAAAGTGTTTGATTCGGTATCATGAAGTCATTTTTGTCAGAATAGGTAAAATGCACGGATGATGCCTGAAATGAATTTTTCAAATAAGAAAAAGTATGAAATCAATTTTTTAAGAATACAAGATTTTTAACACAGATGAATCATTCTAAACTGATTGATAAACTTCCATATTAAGTACTTTTAGTGCTCATATTAGTCATTTTAAGTAAATAGCAAATAAAATTATGGTCTAAAAAATTAAATAAGTAATGAGCTTTCATGTCAAATACTTTTATAACAAATCCATATATTTCAGTATGATTAAAACAATGCGTTATTTTTAGTTGATCTCTGGTCTTAATCCACTAAATAAATTTAAGTCACCTCAGGTGGGAAAGATGTCAAGGTTATTAGTGACTCATGTTAAATGCTTTAATAAAACAAAATAGATAATAGAGGGACTTTCAAACCAGACAAAAGAAGAAAAAAAGAAAAGAGACAAAAAAGTTGAAGATTAAATTCTCATATTAAACACTTAATATAATAAAACACTAAGTTTTCAGTAAAAGGCAAATTTTTTTTAAACTAACTAAAAACAAAAATAAAAACTTTGTCGAGTCAGGCGCCAAGCTTTTATATTATTTACACTTTTTCATAAATTCAAAACGAAATTTTATTGTCATGACTAAAAAATGGAATTAGTGGATAGAGCATAGTGTATTTGAATTGATCTCATTGGGTAATTAATGAAATAATGCTTCTATATATTAAGCTACATTGCTAGAAACATATTCAGGTTATGATAAATTGTTAAAAGTTAATTTTATATGTTCATAACATAGCACATAGTACCTGCTTTGTTCAGAGAATTGAATTTATTACTTGAATTTTTTTTTTTTTTTGCTAGATAATCAATGATAGAACACTAATAAATTTTGAAATACATTATTTAAAAGCTATTCACATAACCACATAATACAGGGTTAATTCTAGACCATAAAAAAGGCAGGAAGCTAAAAACTGAAAAGGGCATAATATCTCCTAAAAAAGGGTCTTGTATTTTACTAACATTTTTGCTTAGCTTTCATGAAAACCAAAACGTATTAAGTTCGTAATTTCACAAATAAAAAAATATTATTTCAAAGAAAAATAGTTTAACATAACAATTCCTCAGTTAAATTTAAACATTTTATAAATTAGTTTTAAAATTAGTGCAGTTCTTGCATTGTGAAAAAGTTGCATGTTGCACTAATAATGTATTAAAAATATCAGGATTTCCAAAATGATAAGTAACTGTAATAATTGTCAAAAAAGTGATCAGAAATTGATTTGGATTTATGATGCAATCATCTTAAATCAAATGCATAAAAAGTAAGATCTATAATAGGAAATTAGCTAGCCACAATATCATAATGAATACGTCAAAATTGAAAAATCCTAGAAGAAGTAGTTGAAAAATGATATGGATTTACGATACAGTTGTTGAGCATGCCAAAAAGTTACTCATTCAATTTGAAATATATACTTATCATAGTCATAATGACTTCATATAATGAACATGAAGATAAGAAAAAAACAAGTAGAAAAAAAAAGATTACAAAAATGTGCGTATTTGTGATGAATTGTGTTAACCCAAATTCAAAATTTGCATGTTGTAATAACATATTTAAAACATCAGCATTTGAAAAACCACATAGAAAGGGCTTCAAAAGTAATAAAAAATAGTTCGAAAAATTACGACACAATCATGTGAAAAAGGCAGAAAAAATAATAAATAACTGCTAAACAACTACTATTTAAGGATGTGAAATTAGAATGGAATTGCAAAAATTAAACGCACGAAAAAGTGATACATAAATACTGAATGCTGTAATAACATAATTAAAATATCTTAATTAGAAAAACCATGTGAAATGGGTAAAAACAATGATAAATAACTTCCAGCAAAAATACCAACAAACAATGTGAGATTACAATAGAATTGCCATGAATTGAATTTACAAAAAAAATAATAATTTTTGCATGTTGTAATAATGTACTTAACATAGATCAGAATTTGAAAAACCGTAGGGAATTTGGCTGGAAAATAAAATAAATACCTACTAAAAAATTATTGGAAAAATCACATGGATTTACAAAAAATCAATGCAAATAGACCATTTTGTTTTCTTTTTAAACATATTGGGAAATGCAATCAGGTTCACATTTTAAGTTAGTTCATTCTTTTATTTAATCAATAAAAAATAACATAACAAAGAAAATATTTTTGTACAAATTAACTAGGAAATGTAGTTGCAATTAATAAAAACATAATATTTTGCAATATTTGTGCAAAAAGAGTGAAATTATTTTTTTTTTGAAGAATAAAAATTAAAAGAATCAGAATAAGAAATTTAGAAAAATGAATGTCACATTTCAAATAATTAAAAAAAAAATGTCTTTTAAAGCAATATACTGTCAATATCACAAAAGCAAATACCTTCAGAGAGTTAGAACTCTGACTTTCATGAAAAGTTTGTTCTTTCAGACTTCTTGAAGAGTACCGATTACTTAAAGAATAAAAAGTGCCATCAGATTTAAACCTGGAATGAAAGCAGTTGAGTGAGTACATTGCCTTATTAAATTAAAAAGACACATTACCTCTGCATAGTTTTTTGAAGCTAAAACAGATAATTTTATTTACTAGAAAAACTAAAACAAAGAGACAACTTTTAATATTGGTGAAAATAAATATTAATAGATTAGAATATAAAAAAATAATGCATTTCATGATTAAAAACCAGTACAAGAACTTTATAAGTGATTGATTTTAAACAAATATGACAATACCCAATAACAGAATTGTCAACTTAAAAAAAAACAAAAAACAAGACAAGTAAGCGGATTTTTGTGAAGTCACTGAATGTTCTCCTACGAACCGCATAATTAAACCTTATGGTTAATACTAGCATTAGTTTGACCAACACCTGCAAGCATTACTTTCCTTGTTACTAACTTTATATTATTTGGTATTGATCCCATCAAAAGAATAAAAAATTAAGAAGGAAGCTATTTTAGTACAAATTAAGATATTACTCTTATAAGAGAAATCATCCGTTTTAACACACTTTGTTAAAAACAGACTTAATGCATTCTTTTTTACATTCATTAGAAATTTCAATTATATATATTTAAAAAGAATTAACAATCAACATACTCGAATTATAAAATCACTTAACTGGAAGAATGAGTTTTAGGGCTGTATGCAAAGTGTGCCTGGGTCCTCCAATGCATTTAGTGATATAGAAAAAAGTCTGAGAAAATATTTTATGAGGCTGAGGTTCAGAGATTCGGCACAAAAACCTGAAACTCAGGCCTAAAGGCTGAAATTTGGCAAGTTTGCAGTAATTAACATCATTTGTATAATTACCTAAAATATATATATAATAAATGATGCTAAGCTAATTGCTGGAAGCTCTGATGCATCATTTAAAATATACAAACAACAAAATGTCAATGAAAATGTTTGTGAAGAGTAGAAAAATAAAAAAAACTTTTTATAATATTTAAAAATTTAAAAAAAAATAAATAAATAGAAGGCAGGTATATAAACTTCATTTCAATATTTTAGATTTTTAAACCTTTTATTCCTAGATTTGATGACAGATTAATTTGTTGTCCGAACTAGATGTTACTTTACATGCTTTTCATTTACTATTTATGCAAAAACAGATAGTTCTTAATTTTCCTGTTTATGAGTTTCTGCACAAACAATAAAATTTAAAAAAAATTATAATAAAAAAATGTGCAATGCGATAATTATGGTTTAGTTTTTAATTTCTATATATTTAGTCAACTGTTAATGGAAAAGTATATACAGAAAACATACCTAAGAACTTAATGTATTATTAGACAATTTATCACCAAGAAATTATTGATCATGTTACATTGAGTTTCGAAAAATTTGTGAAATTAATTTAAATTTCGAACATTTGTAATAAATGTAAGTTCAAAACTTTTCAATATTATTTTTCTTTTCAGTATCCTTTTTCTTTCTTCATATGTAAAAGCTCTTTTAATCAATTTATTTTATACCCTCGTTAAATAGCTGACCCAATTTTGAGTTTATGGCCCTAGCGTTGTAATTTTGAACCCTATCAAAAAGACAAAGGAGCTTTTGGATCATATGCCCAGAGGTATTGATTTGTTATGGGAACTTGGAGGACTTTGTGACACTAACAGATTTAACATGCACCAGTCAACACAGGAATTCTTCAGCCAGTTGGATTCTAACTCCCATTCTCCCAAACAAGAGTCCAACGTCCTACCAACCAAGCTTTCCTGGCCCTCTTTTTTAATAATTGGCATAATTGATAACATGAGAAAACATAAGGTCATTTTTTAGAACACAATCAAGTTTCATACATATTAAGTAACCAAAAACACTTAGCACAGTAAAACATTTAAAAAATGATATAACGACAACAGGATTAAAAATTTGTTAATAAATCACACAGTATTTTTATTGCATACCTTGGAAGTGGACTATTACACAAAGTATATAGCATGTTTTTACAGCAGCCTCTTGAATACGGATTTTTATCCTTAGAAAATTTTCCAGTCACCTTAAATAAAAAACAAAAAAATTGCAATACAAAGAATTAAGTTTTTGATAAACATATAGACTGAATTAGTTAATCTAATAATCCAATATGATTTAACAAATGCAATTTTAATCACACTGCAGCAAATTGTTTTTACAAGAAATAATTGCTTTTGCCTACTTATTGTCAGAATTAAGCTTAGTCATTTTCAAGTTTGTTAAAGGATATTTTTTAGTTACAGTTTCCATTTTTGTCCCATTCCATATACATATTTTATTTAGCTTTCTAAAAGCTATTAATAAAAACATTTACTTTTTGAGTGATTTACAAACTATAAAACAAATTCTTCTCATTTTTTAATATAAATTTGTTTAAATTTATCAAATATTTTAATCAAAATTAATATTAGTTACCTTTTTGTACACTGACAAAAAGCCGCATCAGCCAATAGTTTTAAAATTAAAGAAATTTTAAACTTATCAGAACTTGCAAAACTAAATTCACAAAATCATTAAAATACAAAAATTTGTTAATTTTCACAAGTCTTAATAAAATTCATAGAAACTAACAGAAAAAACACAGAGAATTGAAATATCTTTTAAACACTTGCCTGCTCATTTGTTGTCTTTCCTCTGATTATTAACATCAGATGATAGATTGTTAGGCCAAGGATGGGAATAAAGAGAATTATTATTAAAGCAATAATACCAAGGCTATTTAGTAAGTTAAGTAATTAGCAACTGAAGCTTCATATAAATATTTGCCTTATACATTGAATGTTTTCCAGGAGCCAGAGAAAGTGGAGCGTACTCTGAATCATTAATTTACCAACTCATAAAAAGTACAAAAAAAAAAAGTTTAATTGACTAAGTGTAAGAATTCTGTTTTGTTTTCCCTTTATATGTTAAAAAAAAAGATTTAATATAAAGGGAAATGCTTCAATATATATACTTTTATTTGTATTCGAAAATATTAATAAAAATGTGTTGATTATGTGTTTTGATGCAACCTTTTGATTAAAAAAAAATCAAGATGCATTGGAAAATTTAATCTTGGTTATTCAGATGGGTAGCAATAAAGGAAACGAAGGAAATAAAATAAAAATATGACCACCGAAGCTAACGTCTTCAGAGGGTACCTGCCCCGGTAGTCATAAAACAAAACCATTTCTATTGAGGGAGAAGCAAATGCCTAAATTAACTCACTCAGTATCCCAATGGTTTTGTATAGAAGTTCAGGAAAAATCATGAAATACAAATAACCAATTTAGAAAAGAAACTCAAACAAAATCATCAGAAAATAAAAACTCACTTAACCAGGTCAAAACAGCGATTTCCTTTATTGCTACTTTCATACTTTTTTTGAAATTTCTGCTGCTTTTTAACGAGTTTTTTTCAAAGAAGTTTTATCTATTTAGAATTTAAAATTTTTTTTGTTTTCCTTTAGTATTATTCAGATGGGATGGTCAAACTGAATTTTGTGTCAATAGTTCCGAAACTTTTAAAACTAATGAACAGAACATGAGTAAATTTTCTGACTTTGTGAAGTTTTTTTTAAAGGAATTATAATTACTTTTCCTGACAGAATCAAACATTGAAAATAAAATAGTGTCAAATAAAAATTATTGCACCATGTAAAACCTATTAACAGGATTGCACGAAATGTTGGAAACTGAGTACTGTAGTCAACTCTAAAGTTTAAGATTTTACTCCTACTGGCTCCTATTTATAGAAAACATCAAAAGAATAAATTATGTACTAAAGGATACGTCATCAAAGTTGTGAGCCTCTTAATATTATCAAGATGATCTTTCAAATAAAAAGAACAAAGGCATAGAATTGAGATCATATGAATGCTTAACCAGAAAAGGAACAAGAAGAAATAACGATAGTTACGTCGGCCAATGCAATTGTTAACCCAGGGGCAGTGATGATCAAATGTCTAAAAAAATAATAATGTTTACATCATATAAAACCACTGTAAAAATAAAATTTTACGTAGGTTAAAGTAACATAAATACATATATATTTATATAATTAAGGTACCCATACACTGAAAAGTTCCATAAATCGACGACACCACTCGGCAGATATTGCTAGCCAAAATTTGTATGTTTTGTTTAAATTTTGAGTTTTAGTTTACAACAGTTAGTTTGGGTAAATGAGTGGCCTGCCATTAGAGAGTGGGGCTATCAAATGCAACAAATCAAGTTTTGTAATGTCATGGCTTTAAATTTGCATAGATTTTTTAAATCAGAAATAATCAAACTGTGCTGGCATCAACACCATGTAAATTATGTGAGAGTTTAAATAAAACTGTAACTCGCACTTCGGTGCTTACTGCTATCTAGCTAATTTTTGCTGCTGAAATCAGTTATGTTTCACCTATCATTATGCTTAGCTAGTGTGTTACCTCTTGATGTTCATTATGCACGGGGGTTTTTAACAATAAAGTATTGCTTAAATTATTGCAAGTGCCTGAAGCTTTAATTTAGGTGAAGTTAAGCTGGCCTAAAGCAAATAGAAACAGGTATACTCCTTAGTATAGTCAGTGCGTTCTTATTGTGATTTTATATTTTCAACTTTATAAGTAAAATGTGTAAACAAGTCACAACATTCGAAACATCTCCTTCAAAAACTATTAATAATTAGACAATATTAAGAAACATATCCAAATAAAAAAATCTGCTATAAAATAATTTGAAACTAAAGTATAAGTTAACTATAAACATTTATGGTAGCATTATGAAAAAACTGCTAGCTTTTAAAAGCATTGGATAATATAGTTGAATCTTATTAAAGCAAAGTTCAAAGATAGCAATATTTTCATGTTGTACGATAAGACAGCAAAAGGTATTTCTGATGACTTTCACTAAAGAGCAGTTATATCAAAGAATTTATATTATATCTGTAAAAAAAAAAAGAAAAGAAAATGTATAATTACAACACATGTCTTTTAGCATACAATATTACAACATTATTTAAAACTTGACAGTCATCCATTTGAGTATTTAAAATTGTTGATAATAAGAGTTTCTTGTAAAAAAAAAAAAAAAAAACTTTTACTTTTTCTTCCAGTCCAGTACTAGTTAAAATATATTCTGTTTTCTTGCTACTCTCATCCATCTAAATAAAGCAAATCATTCTTAGCAGTTTTCATTCATCTTTTTTCTTTCTTGGCAGGCTTAAACTCATTGATTAGATAAACTGCTTCACTTTGTTTTCAATTCTTAAATACTGTCGTAAGAGAACAAGCAGGAATTCCATATTTTGATTCAATTATTGATTTTTATAAAATCTTATAGCGCATATCATACTACACCATTTGCTTAGTTTTTTCAAATAAAGAAATATTTCCCCTGCTCATTTTTATAACAAGAGCTCCAATACAACTAGAATCAACAACACGCTAGCAATCAAAGGAAGTGCTTATAAAAGAATGATAATCACAATACAAGGTGCGTAGCCAAAGTTTTCAACAAAAAATAAGAACCTTTTTAAGCACTCAAAAAATATTTTTAAGCACTACAGACATTAACAAAATGCAATATAATTTTCGAAGACTTTGCATGATCATGATAAAATAACCAGTTTCTGACAAAGAACTCTTATCTTGATTATATAAACCATTATAAAAAGATCAAGAGGTTTTTTGGTTCGATATCTAAAGGTGGAAAATGAAGCCTGAAATCGAGAATATCTTGCAAAATGCATAGTTGTATATGAGAGTACAAGAATCTCACCAAGCCCAGTTCAGTATATTCATATACGAACCCACAAGTATTTCATCAAAGATGTAAAATGACTGGAGCTTTCATGTGCTAAGGACCGATGGGACGCCGAAATAGATTGTGGTTTAACTTATTGTGAAAATGTTGAATAGAACAATGTGAAAAGCACGCTTTTGAATAATGCATGGCAAAAATCGACAAAGTAAAGAAAGAAAAATCTCATTTTCGAAAAGGGAAAATTAAGCACTTTTTAAAAACATCCATTATAAAAAAGCACCTTTAAGAGCTTTTAAAAAATAAAATCGAAAATAAGCACCTTTAAGCACTTTTTAAAAACACTATGCACTATGCAATAGAATTCCATCATCAGTTGTTTCACTGAGGAAACAACTGATATCACACTTTTTTCACTTTTCCCATGATAATCATCTAGATCAGCACCACTTACAACATTGTCAAAGGCCCACGTCTCTGCACTTGCTCGGTTGATGACATCACCAACTGTAAATTGAAATTAAATAACTGTGACCACTACCTACCTTTTCTAAAGACAAAGGTACTACCCTGATTTGTATAGTTCAAGATAGGAAAAGTAACAAACCTGTTTCTAAATCGACAGTAAGAGGGACTTGTTTTTATTAGCTGTAATGTCCATTTTAAAGAGGAAAAGCTTGTTTTTATATTTCAATTCAGGGTGTCCAGTGAGAAGACATATTCCAATTCGCTGAAAATCCAAGATTTTTCCTCTATCGTGCAGATGATATTTAATATAGAATTTTATTTAAAAAAAATACTTTATCATTTAATATTTATAATCAATCAGAGTAAAATCAAAAATTATATTGGTGGACATATACAGTTATATAATAAAATAAATATTATGTGTTTGAAAATAAGACAGGTTTCAGTCTGGATCTTAAAAAGGGCATTACATCCCCCTAAAAAAAGAAAAAAGACATTTTATCCCCCTAAAATAGAACATTCACCACAAAAAGGAACATTGCACAAATATTTGCATTGCTCGCAATTCACAAATATTTGCATTGCTTTTAAGAGACCTAAAATATACAAGTCTATATAGTTTTATCATAAAAAATCTTTTTTTTAAAGAATTAGTTTAATTTAAAAATAATTCAGCAGATATATTAGTGCATTCAATAAATCGGTTTCAAAATTAGCATAATTTTCGCATTTTGAAATTGATGCTTGTTGCAATAGAATATTTTTAAAAAAAACAGGATTTTAAAAACGATGCTAAAATGGCTGAAAAAGCAATAAATAACTGTAACAACTGCTGAAAAAATCATTGGCATTTGATGTGGATTTGAGATTGAATCCTTGCGAATCAAGCGTGAAGGTGATTCCAAAAATACAAAACTCACTAATTATATTATTGTATTAAAAATATTGGGATAGAAAAAAAATTGCACTGCAATAGCAGAAAAGAGAGACTAATGTCAGCTGAAAAAACAATCCTTAAATGACAAAAGATAAAATGCTGTGAACTGAGTTAGTCAAAAAGTGACTCCTCGAGTTAAAAAGGAAAGCTTATCATGATAACATAGTACAAAGAATATCAGACTTTTTGAAAAAACCATGTGAAAAGGGCTGAAAAATTATTAATAACAGTTGAAAAGCGTTGCATTCATCAAGATGAATTTATTATAAAATCTTTACAAATTAAACAAATGAAAAAGTGATAATTCAAATTCAAAATACTTATGCCGTAATGGTATTGTATTAAAAATATCTGAACTTTTTTTTTTAAAAAAAAGGTAAATAACTTGTGAAAGAACAATCATGAAATGACGTGAAATTACAATAGTACCAAATCGTTCCAAATAATAACCTGCCTAATAAATTCATCAAAAAGTGATAACTCAAATTCGAAATTTGTATCTCCTAATAACATAGTACTTAAACATCATAGAATTTTAAAAACTATGCAAAAAGAGTAAAGAAGACAAATAATTTGTGAAAATCTATGTTAAAACGATGGGAAATTACAATGGAAATGCTTGAAACAAATGACTCAAATTCCAAGTCTCAATATCAGTGTATAAAAATATCAGAATCTAAAAAAAAAAAAAAAAAAAAAAANAAAAAAAAAAAAAAAAAAAAAAAAAAAAAAAAAAAAAAAGTGAAAGGGGCTGAAAAGTTATAATTTCCAAAAAGCTATCATCAAAATATGAGAAATTACGATAAAATTGTCAAAAAATTGAACGTTTTAAAAAAGTGATAGCTCAAATTTGAAATTTGCATACCCATATAATGTATGATATCGTTTCATACATTATATGTGGGAAACTACTAGGGAAACGACAGAGAGAATATTACAAATTACTGCTGAAAATACAATCCGAAACTTCAATATCACTTGGAAGAAATATGGGAGAAAACTTGTCTGTGCCATTCTTAGTGAAACGCTGCTCATGGATTGAAGTATTAATTGCTTGATGTGCGATTGTTTTAAACCTTTTCCCCGTTTTACTAAAAATTTTTAGAAATTCCTTGATATTTCCAAGAAATTTCCAGAATCAATAAATTCCCTGATACTTCTAGGTTTTCCCTATTTTCCCTGTCACTGGACCACCTGCAATTAAACTTTAAAATAATTATTGTTTTTCAAAATATCTTAATGAGGCAATTTTTTTCTTCTTCCTCTTAGGCTAAAATTTGTAAGCCGTTTCATCTGTATAAGTTTTGAGTGAATTGAAAAAATAAATAAATAAATACTGAGAATTTCTTTTGAGATCAAAAAGCATAAAATCGATCCATTTTCTTAGCACTGAATAGTTACTCGAATGATGCAATTCTTATATTCTAAAGCTGGTATGCGGCATAAGCATTATTTGTACTAAAAATATAATGCCATTTTAGAATTTTTACTATAAGCATCTAACTGAATTGAAAAAAAGTAAGTAAAAAAGTTTAAAATTCTATCACTATAACGACAAGAACTAGATTATTTTTTAAACACTAATTTAGAACACATCTCATATAATATTTGCACAAAATTTTATGCTTTTTTTAGAAGGTCATATATAAGAAAAGTTATTCTATATAATCACCATTTAAAAAAATTTATCCTGCAAAAAACTTTAAATAGATAATTGAATAAGTTAAGTAAACCTATCAACAAAGAAGATAAATTTTTCACAGTACAAACAGTTTTGACAAATAAAATATCTATCAAAAATGATCAAAATCTACTCTTGTAACAAAGTTTAAAATTTCCTTATCATAGTTTTTAAAAGTATACAAATTTTTGATTTAGCTTTCATCACCACAATAGCTAATAATAATAATTTCAAAATTTCCCCCCAGCAGGAACATGCTGTAAGTCATTTTAACAAGCTGCGGATTATTATTTTTATTAGTTCTAAGATGAAGGAAAAGTATATATATATATATATATACACACACATTATTGATAAGGCCAAGAGAGTTGAAACATTTTAGATAATGACCTGAATCAATTGATCAGTTCCCAATTTTTTTGGCTACGCAACCCTAATTAATAAACCTTCTTTTGGCGGAGCCCATACTTTATAAATAAAATTCTATTAAGATAGTTGAGGGCGTTATAACCTATAAAAGACTATTAAAATATTTAGAAGAGTGAAAATATTTCCTCATTTCATCGTTAACAATTTTAAATTAGGTTTTATTTCCAACAGTTAAATTTGCAGTCCTTGTGCTATATTCTTGTCTAGTCTAGTTTAAGTGTTTATACATAAGCTGAAAATGAATAAAATAAACCAAATTATGGTTTACTTCAAAATAAATGTAAAAGAACAGTTGTAAATGTTGAAAATGGTTATTTCAAAAATGGTTTCCGTCATAAAAGAATTTAGTTATTTTATTTTGATTTGAAAAGTGCAATCTGAAATACAAATGCAATATTTTATAAATGTTTATTTGTTCAATATATTATTAGAAACATATTTTCTGTTAAAAAATGCCATTTCCCGTTCATTGACATTTTACTTGAAATAATTTCATAAAGGAAACCTAAAGACTAAATTATAGATTGGATCTAATATAATCAAAGATGGAAAAAGTTACAATTAATTAGAGGTTATAAAAGTAGTATTCCTTGGTTATAAAAAGTACTAACCCCTTTCTCATCATTTGGGAAACGATGGATCAGTAATTATATATATTTCTGGCAAACAGAGCAATTTTTTTTATCTACTTGTCATTTTTATTACACGTAATCACAATAGTAAATGGTAAAGCCTAATCTTTTAAGTTTGTATGCAATGTCTGGTAGCTTAAAGATCACAGACAAGTTTTGAAAGATGTAAGTGCAGCAAAAAGTTTTGTTTCAGGCAAAATTTTGATGAACTTAGCGCAACAGATTTGGTAAGATTTCAATAAAATTGGAAACATACCAATATTAAACCACTTGACTTTGGATCAACAGGACAGATAAAAATCTAATGCTTATATAATTAAAAATATTAATAAACATTGATAAAATAATAAAATTACTACCTCTATGCAATTATCACAAACTCCACAATGGACACATCGGGGAGGACGGTAAAACTGGCATGTTACACACCATTTCAAACGCACTTTTATCCCATTAATTTCAATATCTTTGTAAGTAGGTGAAATACCATCACCCTTCAACTCATCTGGTTGAGCTATAAAGTATTTTTTGGATATAATTTAAATTAACATAAAGTTTTATGGACATTTCAAGAGAAAAACAAAATTTGTATAAAAGAAAATATCTAAGAATTACCTTTTGGAATAATACCAGGATTCACAAAAGTGGCCAAAGCAAAATTTATAATCACAAAAAAAGTAATCACTCCTTGGAATATAGGAATTCCGATAGAATACACTGACATTAAATATCGGCATCTAAAAAATTGAAAATAAAATCAGTCAAATGTTTTGATTAGCATTTATATAGTCAAGTCTCAATATTACAAATTTCAAGAACACAATTTTTTGATATCACACTAAGTCAAATACATTTTTCTGTGATCCTTAATTTAACAAAATATTTTAGGTCACCAAATTTTTTCCCTTACTTCTTAAAATCTACCTACAATGCCAATGGAGTGTGGCGAATAAAATCATTGCCAAGATGACACAAAATAATGCAACCCTAAAACAGAACATCTTCACTACCACTATAAATATTAAATACCAATTCAGTAGTAAATAAGACATGTTATCTTGATTCATCAAAAAGTAGCTTTTGATGGAAGAAGGTTGACATCTTTGATAAATTCACTCCATATTAGTGTTTAATACTTAAAGTGATAGTTAAGCAGCAGGAGAAAAAAAAGTCACTATAAATTGAGAAAATTATTCACTGTACGAAAGAGCAAAACTAATTTTGCATATTACATAACTTATATTTTTATTTCTATAACTACTGGATTCAACAAGGAACGCAATGAATATTTGACCATTATTCGGCATTTGGCTCTTATGCAAATATTCGCAAAGTATTAATTGGAAGATTATTTACCAGCAAAGTTTTTTGTGGGAAATTTTCATAGATTTAATAAAGAATAACCTAAAATCATATTTTTAGTATACATTAGAAAAAGTTTTTATGCATATTTGTTTAGTTTGAAACTTGTTAATTTATGTACTGAAAGACACTTGGAAAAGTGAAATTTGAAGAATTGAAACTAGATTACTTGATACAGAGACGTGAGTTTTGTAATGTTGATTTTTTTCCTCTCTTTTTTAATTATACAGGGGTGATTATGAGTCCAACTCAAAAATCCTGAAAAATACTTGATTAAAATCATTAATGACCCATTTCAAAAAAGTAATGTCTTTAAAAATTTAAATCATTGATATTTTCACAACATGAAATTCTAAATAAATTATATGCAGCATAATTTAAATTAATAATTATGTTTAAGTTTACTCTTATCTTTAATCACATTTATTATTCTACCAGAAAAAAAATATTTAAAAATCAAAGAAATGCCAAGTATAAATTTTAGTTCTAATGTTTCAAATAAAATATACAAGAATTTTCATACATAAGTGTGATTGATGATTACTTGAAACTTTTGCAGGTTGAATTTCCGAAAATTTCCGGATCGCGGTAAGTGAAAAATCCGGAAATCCAGATTTTTTCCGGAGCACAATCATCTCTGATTATATTCAGGAAAGTCAATTTTATCGTTTTTTCAACACTTTATGTTTAAAAATTAAGAACTTTTTTTTTGTTTCATTTTAGCTTATTATTTTTATCTTTCTATTTTGTGCTTGTTAAAAGCAAAGCATGTTAACAAAGCGTTTCTAATATACTTTATTCTCTTATTGTCGCATTATTCTTGTGCAGTATGACAGATAACTAGTAACATAGAAAACGGTGATTCTCAATGTTAGAATTATATTTCAGAACTAAGAAAAAAAAATTTCAGTTTCTCTTTTGATTTTTTTTAGCTTTATATTTATCAGCAATTTTATTATGGCAGCATTTTCTCAAGAACGCTTCTATGGAACGTTATTCTTTAATGGTAATCTTTTTTTCAATTAATAACTTTAGCGTTAAATTTTTCATATAAAAATGGAGAAAGATTTTAATTTTTATTTCTATCTAGCTTTTTTTTTTTCAAAAAATTTATTCTAATAGACATTTAAGGCAATTAAGATGATTTCTATTAAACTTTAATCTTTACTTTTTCTTGAAAATATGGTAATTGGAACAGCTTTAAAATTTTCTTTCAAAAATTAAGATCAATTTATTATTTTTTTCATTTTGCTTTTATATTTTAAAAGGCATTTTTATAATATTGCTGCATTTTTAAAAGCGTTTTTGATAGACATTATCTCTTCTGTTCTTTCATGAATAACATTTATGGAAAATATTATAGTTAGCATTAAAGTTTTGTTTACAGAATTAAGACTTTTTTTCTATTTCTTTTTTTTTTTCCAACTTTACTAAAGTGTTTTTTAATAGCTGCTACTGTTAATTTTTTTGATCTTAAATCTTTTTTGTTATCTTAATATCTTTATTATCTTAAACATTTATAGTAAAGTTTTTTTTCCTTTTACCCCATACCAATAATACAGCTAAGTTTTGATTATTTTTCAATAATGGCAAAACTTATTTCAACAAAAAATATTTATTAATGCTTTTTTTAAAAAAACAAAAAATGCTGCTATTCAGCCAAATCACTATTTGTTACATCCCTAAATTCAACATTGCTTATGTTTATAGAAACACACTCAAACCAATATTCTTCAAGAACCACAGATTGTATATACGTATATAATCACATATATAATGAAACATATATACATACAATAAAAAGAGAACTTATTCTTTCACATACATTACTAACATATCATTTTTAAGTTAAATTTTCATTTGTATGTAAGGATGAAATGAAAAGCAATGTTTAATCATTCTTTTTATCATCTTATAATGCTTATGGAAGAAAAATGCATATTTTTTATTCATTGATACTAAAAGTGTAAAAATATCTCATGATCATACTATATAATAGCCTAATCACTTTTAATTTAGGGTCTTAGTATTATATAAACCAAAAAAAAAAGAAAAACTATTTTTTTTCACTTTGATATTTTAAGATATATATAACCCTATTATATATATTTATGTTTCCTTAATAAGAGAGTTGACATCTGTCTATAAGGCAATCCTTGTGCCCCCTGGAACTACATTAAAGAAAAGGGGAATTAACATTAATAAAAATTAACTACTTACGGAAAAGCAAAAAAGATTCCCGTTGCACAAAGCAAAAGAATCCAAGCAACAGAAGCAGGTAATATTCTTGTTATTGGGGTACACTTTCCCATCTTAATAGTTAAAAAAAATTTGCATCGTTCCCCCAAGTTAGGAGAATTTAAGTAAGGTTCATTACTACTTGTATCCGAAATGTTATGAAATACAATATCAATTTAAAATACAAAGTATAAAGGACATGGTTGAGATTTTTAACAAATCTTAAGTTAATTAAAATACGGAATGAGATATTTAAATTAATTCATGTATCGTAGTCTCACAAACAATCTCAACACAGATCTTAAATAATTTATGGAGTCAATCATAAAGTGCATAAATTAACTTAGTGTATTAGCAATTAAGGTTTCAAAATATTATCTATTCCTAAAATGTTTCGTCGTTAAAAGGTTTACACGTTTAAGAAAATCGAGACAGGCTCGACAACTTTTGACATTTTAAGCAAATCTTCATAACAACAATTAGATAGAAGAGTTAAAATCGCAGTGTACTTATAAAGATGTATATAATTATTTTTGAAAATTAGAAATTTATAAATATTTCATTTCTATTATAAAAAAGTTATTTTATTATTTTAAGAGTATCTAAAAATTTGAATTGAATAGAAATTTATTTAATTATTTATTATAATATTTTAATTTTTTAGAAAATGGCAATAAAAGGCTAAATTAATTGTCGAACGCTTTGAGTTGAACGCGTTCACTGAATTTCGTTCTTAAATTGTCATCAAAGTATTGCATAAAATTCAACCGATTGTAATTTTGGAGTGTTGAGAACTACAACTGCCTATTATTTTGATTGCACAAAACAAGAGAATGATAGTTTTGTTTTGAATTGTTTGTGTTTGTTATTAAAAGTAATAAGTCTGAGGATACATAATTCATTTAATTGTAATTACTATTTTTCAATAAAGTGTAAAAATAACAAAGTCAGATGTTTTTAAATTGCATGTAGGCATGTGTTGAAGAAACGTGCTTTCTTTGCTAACATCTTACCTCCTAAGCTATCATATTTCCGTCGTGATTCTATTTATTACCTTTTAATTTTGTCATCCTAAATATTGTTGCTCAATTATTATTATTAAATTAATTTATTCTTATGTCCATTTTCCCTGAAAACACGAAACCTGTTGAATTAAGCTTTGACTGAAATAGTTGAGACATATTGCTTTGTTATTTAATTAACTCCCCAGTAGAGAACTGTGCTGTTTTTTGTAAAACATTTTGGACTTGCATAACGAAAGAGTTTAAAGACATAACATATTTTGTTCAAAGGAGATCTTCCTGAGATTTGTCAATATTTTCTTTTAACTGTTGTTTCCTCACTGGTTGCAAAAAAATATTCTATTATAATGGCAGAATTTTAACTAGGGGAAGATTTCTGTGTCATGATTTGCTGCAGTCTTGAAAACTTCCAGGCAATGGTCTGTGAGAAAAAAAAGGAATCAGAAGGGGACTAACTTAAAGGGTATAACTTAGCCACCCTAGGTTAAAATCCATTTGGCGTCTTGGCAATTATAAATGATGTGACAGATAACAATACAAAAATACTCCCTTAATTAGCTAACGAAAAATAAATAACTGAGAACTTAATTTTTCTTATAGATATTCACCTTTTGGTAGATCTTTGCACCAACAATAATTGCTAAGGTGCCATCTTTTTTTTTATTTGGAAATATTTAAAAAAATAATTTGTTGAGATTTGTCCACTAGTGGGTATAAGTTAAACTCTTCAAGTTGGTCATTTTTGTGATTTTTTTTAATTTTCTCATAAGCTACTGCCTGGTTGGTGCTAAAAATTAGTAATTTTTTTTTGTGAAGGTAGGGTTACGAAAATCAATCCTACTTTTGCATATACTGATATTGCAATGTTGTTTGTACAAAATAGTTAATTAACATTTTCTCAATGTTTCTTTTTTCCCTTGTATATGTTTGATATTCTTTAATCGCAGAAGTTTGCATTTTTAGATGGCACATTTTACAGATTAAATTATTTAAACTTTTCATTCGATGGTCACCATTTTCAGTATTTATGATATTTTTTTGATGAAAAGTTGAAGCCATGCTAAAATGTTTAATCTTTGGATGCAATATCTTCTACTAAATAAGTATTTAAATGTTTTACAACAGCTTTTTATAAAAGTTTCATTAGCTTTCCTTGACTATTTTTCTAATCAACCTAAAGTATCCCCATTGGACAATTGAAAAAAACAATCTGTTTCGTAGGGATATATGCTGGAAGAAAAGAATTCAAAATGCAATTTTCCTTATATTAATTTTGTAATTGATTCTTAGTGGTGCATTACAAATAAATAAAATTTACTGTTTTATCAATATATAGATATATGTAAAAATATTGATATATATATCTATATGAGTTCTATATACTTGCAGCTTATGCGTAGTTAATAAAACTTATTAATTATTTTCGTTTTTCTCTTTGTTTTTATTGTGCTATGTTATAGTGATCGTATTTAAAGCAGCTTTAGCGCTTGATATTATCTACTATTACCTTACTTCCGTTTTCTTTTTGTTTCCGTTTTTAGTTCGGTTTTGTTTTTATTGTGCTATATATATATATTAATGCATGCCATATCTGAGAAATCAACATAAATTTGTCTGGAAGATTAAGCAGAACCTAATCAAAGACTAGAAATGTCAAATATTGAGTTAAACTTTGAATCTCATTGTTCTGTTTGGTTGCTAAATTAATTTTATATTTGTTTTTACCTAGATATTTTTTTAAAACTTTGTCTTCTTTTTCAGAAAAGGAATGGATTGTTCAGGGGAAACTTCTAAAACAAATGAAACTTCTATAAGAGAGATGGCTAACTCTATTGGAAAAAGTAAATTTTTTTTTTATGTAAAAGAAGTTGTTTTCAATGCTAACAAGTATTTGACAGCTTTAACCATGGAAACTGTCCATAAAAAAGAGTAAAGCATTCCTGCATTCTAGAGGGCTCATGGAGGTTAAGGCTAGGCAATTTTATAATCAATGAAAGAATTTTGGCAACATGGTCAATCCCGTGTCAAAATTCCGGTGACATTATCACAGAACATTACAGAGTTCTCGCAAAAAAATATTTCCTTTGGGAAGTAAGAAAATTTTGGTTATCTATTCTGCCAAAATTTTCAAAAAAAAAAATTTTTTTTTCCAGCAGAATTATATTTAAGAGATGCTTTTTTTACGCATCTGAGGGGAAAGAAATGCACACAATATTTCTAGTATCATTTGAGAATAACAAAAATTTCATAATGTCTGGCTTGAGCTAGAATTTCAAGTATATAAAATAAAAAAAGAATTGCAAAAATTTAAAAGATAGTTCACTGCAGAAATCCTGATTTTTCTCTCAATTTTTTTTTTTTAAAAAAAAAGAGCACTATATTTTCCATTTTGTTAAAATATGACTCTGAGTTGGGATTTGTTTCAAATTTGCATTTGTAGCAAAAAAATTAATCAGTATTTGTCCCCTTTTTTGTGACTGAAATAAAATCGATCCAATACTAAAATATTACGCAACTACAAATCAGGCTTTTGAGTCTTCATTTTATTGCACACAAATGACGTTTACTAATTTGTAAATATATGTAGTGTTTTGATAGTTTTTTTGCAAATTATTGCTAGAAAACACAATTTTTTTTATTGCTCAAAGTTCAAATCACAGGTTCAAGAAATCACTCTGTGACACCCTCTGCTTGCGTCGATGTCATCGTTAATATGTGCAGTGTTATAGTTCTTTTGACAGTCTTTGCTACAAAAGTTTAAATATTTTTTTTAAAACAAAAATCGTAAAGTTTCTTTATACAATTTTATTACTTGTGAAACTCAAATCACTTAATTTACTATTAACTTTTAATCTCACAATGTGAGTTACCCCTTTTTGAAGAGTTTGATTCATGTGAGTTTCTCACGATCTTTTTTACGGTAATTTCTTCTACAGATTTCTCGATTTTTTATTATTTTCTTAATGTAATGACGATTTAGAAAATAAAATAATTAAGTGTGCTTTTTCCCCTACAAAATGCAAGAATATTGCCTATGATATTTCAGTAAAAATAATTTAGCATATTCAATTTAAAAAATTATAACGCTTTTATTTTATCCAAGTATGTTTTTTTTTTTTGGCAAACACAATGCTATTGTAACTTTAAATTAGTAACATAATATTATTAAAAGTGTCTTGTAGAAGTGTGTTATTTAAAGTGCAAATTATATATAATCCTTTGTATTAATATTTGTGCTATTATTATGTTTTCCATTTCTTTTTTCAATTAATCCAGTGTTATTCATTCATGCAATTTTATAAAGACTTTAAAGTTTTCGAAACGAAAACTTGCTAATCCTAACAACAACAACAATAAAAAATCCTTCTATTTAACTAATGTCTCTATTTTATACAAAATAATTGTCTGAAACAGTTTTTCATTGATGTCACCCTGTGCATTCTTACTGAACCTACTATAACCTAATTATAATTGCATCATACTCTTCTTTTATACGTTTTTTGGTATATTTAAGTGTGAAAAATAAACCTTTTAATAAGTGTAATGACAGTTTTATAATTAGAATAATATCATCTTTTGCATTTAAATAAATTCATTTATAATATAAAAGCCTGGTAGCAGAACCCCTCTGGTGTGACTGCAGGCTTAGCAGATTATTTTTCATCCCAGATTTTTTTTTAATGATAAAAAACTTCTGAGAAATCAAGGAATTAAGATCAATAAAAAATAAACGAATTTTCTATCCTCTTTTGATTAAAATAAGAAATAATTTCCTTCATTTTAAATCTGATACCAAAAATAAACGTTCTCAATTCCGTTCCACAGACATTTGTATTTTTTTTTCTACATTTATATTAAATAAGGTCAAAGTGAAATGTTTTATTCTGTAACCTTTAAATCTATAACTACCAACTAAAAAATAACCAATTTCTGCTCTTGTAACATTAAATCTTACATTGTTCTGGTTATTGTTTTCTTTGTCTGCAAAATATCTAAAATTGTATGGTAATGAATTTCATTTGAAATTTTTTTAAATAGTCATGAACCAAAAGCACCATTAAATACTTTTCTAATAATTCTTCCCTTTTAAATTAAAAGGTATTTTTATACGTTGTCATTTCCTTATTGCGTTATTATGTACAGCCATACCTTATTTTCTTGGGCAAAATTAAAGTAATATTGTATAAAATTAAAAAATTTTTTTAGACAGTATGAAGTTTTTGTATGATTTCTTAAATATCTAATAGTTGTACATTTTGCTACATGTATGGTAAATTATAAGCTTTATTTTAACAATACTGATCTCTATGTGCCTGCATTTGGTTTTGCGCTTATGAAGACAGTGTTGCATATTGACTCTGTAAAATCTGCTGCTGTGTCCTAAAGTATGAAGAATCATTTATAGTTAGGTGAATATTTTTTGAAGTCTAAGTTAAAATATATTTGATTCTGCTTTAAATTAAAAACAAAGTTGTCTTCTTTCAAAACCATTCTTATTGTTTAGCACTATGAGATTTTACAATCATAAGTCAATGTATCAAATAGTCATTAATTTTAATTTAAAAAAATTTGCCAACATGTTTAAGAACAGTTCAGGGAATAGATTTAGATGATTACCTAGCGCTGTCGGAAATCAATTTGATCAATTATGTTCTTTAAAGTTAATTCAGTTTTGAAATTTTAACTATTTGTAATATTCTAATTTTTTTTTTTCAGTTTTAATATTATTACGATAATGTATTGTTGTATAATGAGTTTTAGAATTTTATGTTTACGAGTTAGTAATATTTTTCAGAATTGTAATTTATAACACATGATTTTTTAAAGATTTCAGTGTATTTCTGAGCAAAATATTTAAAAACGTAGTTAGTATGCTTTGCTTTCCCCAGAACCACTAAAACTCTAAACAAACAAGCCCCCAAGGCAGTGTTTCCCAAAGTGTGGTACGCGTACCCCCAGGGGTACGGGAACAGTTTAGTGGGGGTATGTGTTCTCATGGGAATTATCTTACAACAAACTAAAATTACAAAAAAAATTATTTAAAATCACAGCTAGCCATGAAAATTTACTATGACATGTATTTCTATTGGCTATTTTTTGAAGAGTTAACAGTTAATAATTAGTGGTGTTAACAGCCAGTTGTGATTTTTATTTTTTGTGCATATTTTTAATAGTAAAAAATACATTCATTTTTTTATTAGTGTTACAACAGCATTATGAAAAATTTGCAAAAGGGACACAAAAGTCATAAGTTTGGGAAACACTGCCGTAAGGGAATAGAAATACGAGTTTTTAAAGTAGTACTAAATGGTAAATGAGGAACTATTCGTGATATGCAAAAGTGATATAATGAAATTTAATAATTTTCTCTCTGGTCTTTTAATTTTCTTGACTAATTGTGTAATATTTTATCACTAGTTACATGACCCATTTTATTCTTTTTAAGGTTTACAAGATGGAAATCAGCCTAGTTGTAGCACCCAGTTAGAAAAAAATATTATAGAGCAAGTTTCTGGAACTTTTGCTGATGTTAGCATCTCAAATAATTCAAAGCCAGTATCTTTAATCGTTCTGGGAATGGCTGGATCTGGCAAAACAACTTTTGTCCAAAGAATAACATCCCATCTCCATGCTAAGCAAACTCCACCTTATGTCATCAACCTTGATCCTGCTTGTCACACTGTACCTTTTCCTGCAAACATAGATATTAGAGATACAGTTAAATATAAAGACATAATGAAACAATATTCACTTGGACCTAATGGTGGAATAATGACAGCATTGAATTTATTTTCTACTAGATTTGACCAAGTTATGAGCTTTATTGACAAAAATAGTTCGAAATGCAAATATGTCATATTTGACACGCCTGGTCAAATTGAAGTGTTTACTTGGTCGGCTTCAGGTATGATTATTACTGAAGCTGTATCATCTACTTACCCTACTGTTATTGTATATGTTATGGATATTGTAAGAAGTTCAAAGCCAGTAACTTTCATGTCAAATATGCTATATGCTTGTAGCATTTTGTATAAGACAAAACTTCCATTTGTGGTCGTACTAAACAAAACAGATGTTCTAGATTGTTCTTTTGCTATTGAGTGGATGCGAGATTTTGAAGCATTTCAAGAAGCTTTGGAAACTGATACTTCTTATGTTTCTAACCTGACTCATTCCATGAGCCTAGTCTTAGATGAATTTTATAGTGATCTTCGAGCTGTTGGCGTTTCGTCTCATTCTGGTTCTGGTGTTGATGATTTCTTTAAGAAAGTGGGTGAAGCAGCAAAGGAATATGAAACTGTGTATAAACCAGAATATGAAAAGATGTTGCAAAAGAGAAAAGAATCTGAAAAATCGAAACAGGATAAAGAAATTAAACGACTGAAGAAAGATTTAGGTAAATATATAGATGTGGGTTGGGTAAATACCCAGTGGGTAGGGTATTTATAAATATTTATTTACCCCTTCCTTGGGTAGATACCCAAATTCAGGGTATTTCTATTTTCTTGCTCTTTTTGAAGCATTTAAAATCAATTTGTCTTACTTAAAATTCTGAGAACAACATAACTATCTTTAATTTTCAAAAATGAACTTTAAACTTAGATATATCAGTTCCAGAAAAATATTTCAAAAGAACTACAAATACCTAAGGGAGAAGCTACATTGTGGCATTAAAAAAGTAATGTAAAAAGTTTGCATTGTATAAAATAAAGTAGGAATTTATATTAAAAATCAGTTGTTCAAAGTTGCTCATTTTTCAAAAGAAATAATTTTTCCGATGCAATGGACTAAACTGGATTAAATCAAAGATATTCTAAATGAGCGCAAAAAATATTATTAATTGTAAAAATTAAAATTTATTAAAACTAAGTTTTATACTGTTTTTTTTTTCCTTTCATTTATATTGAGTTAATAAGTCTAATATAAATGATAAACTAAAACTACAAATTACATATCTAAATTTTTTAAAAAATTAATTCAAAAAACCATTTCGTTTAAACCGAATTTTTCCTTTTTTAAGAAAATGTAGTTAGTTTAAAATTCTTCGATATTTTGTTTTTCTGTATAGATTCTATTTTATCGAAAATAATAAAGTTAATTTTATTTTTAAAAATTACTCATAATTGTGACATTTCAAGCTTTCATTTTAGTCGAAAGAGATAATGAATTATTTAATTTTTATATTGAGTTTTTTTTCAAATGATGAGAGCTAAAAACTCTTCATCCTTAAAACACAAGACAATTCATACTCTAAAACAGTGTTTCTTATCCTCTTTGATATAATGGACCCCTTTTTTAAGAAGTCACAGATCACCCCCCTGTGAAAAAAATAATTGCAAAAAACATGGATTATTAGAAAACATTTAATTATATTATTTTAATAGTATATAAAATTTTTAAAATTAAAATTTTTAATGTGAAGGTTGCTGCTGATTTTCCTTAATTAATAAATTGAATTGGGGGATGGTTTTCGACAAGCAACATGCATATCATGTTCAATATTCAATCGATTTCGATGTTATGTTTTTATTGTCACAAGTGTGGAAAATCCTGCTTCTCAAAGATGCACTGTAGCAAACGGAATTATAGCTGCCATAGCTCGCTTTGCAAGCAATGCAATGGGTAGGCATCCAAACATTTTAAAAATTAGGAGCAGTCAGTGGACCCCCAAAATATAACTCATGGACCCCTTAGGGGTTCATGAACCACAGGTTAAGAAACCCTGCTCTAAAATAAAGGTAGTTCGTTTAACTGAATTTAGTCTTATACTTTTAAAGTGTTATTTACTGTTTTTTATCCTATATAAAAAGCATTTAACTAAGTTATAGTATATTGATTATCAATATTGTTCTTACATTTCTAATATTGTTCTATGTTTTTAATTAAGTTAATAATATTACATTTTAATTAAATAATTTTTTAATTTAAAATCTTCTTATTTATTTGTGTTAAAAATGCATCTTGTGATTGGTAATATGAAACAGTTTTTAGTGATAAGTTTTGTCGATACAAAAATTAATTTAAGTATAAGAAGAAGAAAAAACTATAGACATAAACCTTAACTGTTTATATTTTAGTTTAATAAATAGCATTTTATTCATTTATTTCATTACAAAAACAACAAGTTGAAGGAAAATAAACTTTATGCATGCTAATTATCAATTAAGAGTAAAAAATATATAATGCAAGTAAAGCTTATTTCAATAATTACATATTTGTTATTTGCAGGATTTTGTTATATACATTTTCACTTTATATGTCCTAATCAGGCTGAAGTTCGTGACTTTCAATTTAAATTTTTTTTTTTAATTGAGAACATTTGATATATATTTAATTAACAGAAATATATTTAATAAATATTTTTTTTCATTCCAGTAAAAAATATTAAAATTCTGATCAGGAAGAAAATGATAAAATTATATAAATCCTTGATATATGATAAAATATAAAAATCCTTGCTTAGAGTTGTTCTATTATTTATACATACAATTTTTAATTGAGAAAAAAAAGTAATTTTTTTCCCAGAGCATTTTTTCCTGTAAAAGAAAAAGCTTTTCGATCTCATTTAAACCGAGTATACCAAAATACTGAAACATTCAACCTATCATATATTTTATACCCCTTTGAAAACCATGCTAACATTCAGCGATATGCATTGATCATTATTATTCAAAAAGATATAATTAAATATGGATCAAATAATTAATTATGTTTTATTCGTATGCAGGAAGAGTTTCGTATGATAAATTTTTTAAAAATAAATTTGCATAAAATTTGAGTAAATTTTTGTATATCAAAAATATATTCCTACCAAAACTTTCTTTGTTTATATGTTGCTTTTAAAACCACAAATATTAGGAATTATGATTCGAAGTGTAAATTTAAAGAAGATTAAACCATAACCGCTCTCATATAAAAAAAATTAAAAAAAAAAAAAAACGATTTTAATAGTTTATATGTTTAGTTGAATAAATTTTTATTCATAATAATTGACAAATTAAGTATTAATAATGTAAGCAAAACTTGTCTAAAATATATATAATTTGGTACAAAGAAAAATATAATCATTGAATTTTCAATAAAATTGATAAACACAAAGGTGTTTTTGAATTTTGGTACCTGGGTAATTACCTAGTGTATTTACCTCAAGCTCTAAAACCAAGTATTTTACATCCATAGGTAAAGGTTCTGAAGTGGAATTGAAAAAAGATGATGATGAAAGTAATCTGAAGAGTGTTCTTGATGATCCTATTTATGTCCAACAAGGTATGGAGGACGATGACACATCTGATGAGGACTGGACGACAGGGAAACTGACTTATGGAGATAATGATTAAGAAATAAAGTGAATTTTATAATTTGCCTTTTTTCATATATTTTGTACGAATTTCTTTTGCAAAAACATTTAAAAAGAAATTTTTTTTAATAGAAATCATATCTAATAGAAATGAATTTAATTAAATCTTAAAATGTTTTTTATCAGTATAAAATTTTGATATGTATTTTTTATGTTTAAAAAAAAGTGGAGTTATAAAAGTTAATGTAGGTAATGGTATCGAGTCTTATTTATTGGTGTTAACAAATCAGGGGTCTGTCTAGGTTTTTCTGAGAGGTACCTATTTTGCGAAAATGTAAACATAATTCGTGAAAAATTAAAAATTATATTAAAAAATCAACAGAAAAATATGGTAAATATATGGATTTATCGTTTCTTAAGGAATACAAAAATAAAATGCGTGAAGTATGAAATCGGCGAAAAGCGCACAGTATGCCTTCTGATATATCTTGGCCGCCTCTCCACAGCTCACACTCTCTCTCTCCGTCGGTTCGTGAGTAACTAGCTAGCAGTTAGGCATGTTCTTGCCTGCCGGTTACTCATTTGCAGCTTTTTCTATGTTGCTTGAATGTTACAATTGTTATATTTTATTTATGCTAAAATGTTAGTTAAATTTACCAAGTTTTTTCAGTGCTAATAAAGATAGTTGTTTATTTGAACTGGGAGTGTTTATGGAGTGACACGACATAAACCTGTAGTGCTTTTTCATGAACACTTTCACGTGGAGTCAGATTCTTCCCAGAGTTACCAAATATACCAACCGCCACAATCTCTAAATTCATAATGGGAAAAAAGTAATGGGTCGACGGGTTATAATATGAAACAGTCAACATTTTTCGGCGGTGTTATTCAGAAATATTTAAATTGCAATCTAAGAAGATTTAAAGGGTCCCACAGTGGACTGATCGTTAAGAATCGAATTCAAGAATCAGTGTGCGTCGGGACCTAAGGTGTGCGGTATTGGTCCTCGTTAAACTGTTCTACCGTAAAGTACTCGACTTCGCATGAAGGTCGTCGGGCTACCGAAGCGGGGGTGCCATCCCCTTTGCAGGGGATCAAAATTGTGATGGCATGTCTTCGGATCATCCTCAGGGATGTTTCCCAGACCGTCACCAATAGCCCATTGTGCTGCTCTAGGCCGACGTAAATGAATAACAATTAAAGGAAACGTAATATTTATTTAAATGGTGTTTTGTTTTTAATGCAGTAACTACTAAATAAACAATGCAAATTATTTTATTATTGTTGCAAGGAAATAATATGACTAATTCAAATTAAACAGCAAATTCTTCTGATGTATCATGCAATATCCAAATCTTACATCACCTATAAAAAACGTTAAAAAAATAATAATAGTATATGCACATATCAAAAATTATTTTCAATAAGATCTTGGTTTTTCTGACGGGCCTTTCTTTTCTGGTTAAGGTCTAACAGAAACGCTTTTTCGGGTAGCGAATTTCAAGATATTTAATCAGTGTGTTGCTGTCTGGGGGTTGATAAAATTCTGTCTTTTGCTTTCCCTCTGTGATCTTTATAAAGCTTTTAATTTATGTTTACTTAATATTTAAAAATAATACAGTCAAGAACATGCAGATCAACGTATAAGTAATTTGGTATGTATTGCGAAATTTATGACAGCATAGTTGTCTAGTGAAATGTCATAATAAAATGAGTGGTTAATTTACTATCCATTCAATAATATTTTTATGTGTATTTTATTTAATAACTTAAACTTTTTGTGTTTTTCCATAATTTTGAAATTTTACCACCAAAATATTAAATATATATTTTTTTATGTTAGATTCTTTTCAATAATAATTTATTTTGCGTGGTTTGCATAATTTAGGTAGTTCTGAAATTGTGGTTTAATGCAGTATTGCATTTAGATAAAACTTATCATGTTTTAAAAAAAAATTTTTTTTGAATAATCATTAAATCTATTCATTATGGTATTTAAGCATACCATAATATAAAAATATTTCATGTTTGATCCTATTTTAGGTGTAATTTAACATTTGAAATATTTATATTCTTTCACTTAGCTGAAGGCTGAGGTCCACGTATGTGTATCGAAAATTATTAGCCCCCTGGCAGTATAATTCAGATTTTGTTTATCTTATGAATTATTCAGTAAAATATAAATTTGGAACTGAGAAATATTTTTGTCGCTGTATTTCTTCATACTTCAGTAGTAAAGAGGATAAAGTTTTATTAGGATAAGCAGGGGTCGCATTCCCCCTAAAATTCATAAAATTCCTAAAAGTATGTGCAAACCCTAAAATTCCTAAAAATCTGATAAAATTTTGTTGGTGTTCCTAAAAAATTAGAGTTATAGGCTAAATATAAATAAAAAAGCAATAATCTAAAATATAAGAATTTAACTACATTATTTAAAACTGTTTTAATTTTGCCACATGGGAATTCTGATCCTGAGAGAGGTTTTTCGATAAATAAAGCAATGCTTAATGTGAGTCACCATGAGAATACTATTATGTCTCTTAGACTAATCAAAGATACCATTCGAAATTATGGAGGAGTGTTGAAGATCACCACAACACTATTGAGGGCAGTAAAAGAATCTCACAAATCATATCAAGAATATATTAGAAAAATGATCATTCTCAGTGAAGTAA